TTGGTATCGAAGCTTACTTACTTGCCCAGACATGTTCCGCATAAATTAAGAAGTTTCCCGCGCGCCCCTCCTAATCATGCTTCGTGACGTCATCGTGTTCTGGCCGCCCAGTTTATGTAAGTGGTCTCCACTTTATGTAAATGGCTCTCTCTCAAAACGGAACCTATCATGCGCCCCTCACTACTCATTAACTATTAATATTTGTGATTTGTGCCTGTTTGCTTAAATGCTATTGTTATTGTGATCTCTAGATTTGTCTGCACCGGTGACTGCAACCCCTCACTAAGGTTTTAAGCCTGTTATTTGTTCCCAAATTTGTTTAAAACGCAAGCACACCGGAATTGTTACGCAGGAATCGTATACAGTCGAACGTCCACTATCGGCCATCCCTCTGCAACATCCACCTCTCTAGCGATAACGGCCACTTGGTTTGGTGCCGGAGGACTGTCCATACTTTAACTCTTGCTTTAACCTCTCTACACCGGCCGACACTCCACAACGGCAACGGCCACTAAAACGCGTGCCAACTGCCAAAATAACCCTTGACAACGACCAGTTGGTCAGCGACTGACGAACAGTGTATTGAAAACCCTAATTTTTATTGTAAAAGTACATCAAACTCGATCCACACCGCACATCGCCGATCTCTGTTTCTGTTTTATTGATATAGTTTGCTCGTGACGCGTATTTATGTGCTAAAGTGAGCAAATTTTCTTTACAAAAAAAATCCGCCGGACATGCCCGAAAAATTAACAGGTTTCCTGCCCATGGCGGCCACCTCTCTACAACAGCCACTTCAGTCTTTCTGACCCCAAAGTGGCATCATAGGTCATGAAATTGCCAAGCCGGCGGCGTGAATGAACATGTGTCACGTAAGTTGCCAGAAGTTGTGAGCAAGACTGAGTCATGAAGGTTGGGTACACGACTAAATATCTCAATCAAAATTACAATATCAATATCTCAAATCTGAGAACACACCTAAGAATTGACTAGGATGTGTTTTGAGTCTCCTAATTAACGGGGATGGGAGCAAGACGGATAAACGCGAGAGTCAGAAGATAAAGGTACAGGAAGCAAAAGTTCGAAATTTGAGAAATCGGAAAGCCTTAAAAACTGTATCCCATGGCCAGGGCCCGCGTGGCGGTACGCGGCAGTCATCGAAACAATGGCGGCTGAGGTCAAATTTCGCACAAGTCGATTATACACAGCTTCATTCCATTCTTTTTCTTTCATTAATTTCGTGAGCTCAAAACAGTTAAGAAGATGAGACATGATTATTATAACGAAATCCACATCTGCCCCGTATGAAAATGCAAATCTGAAAGTAAAATACCCCACTGCATGGAACGTTGGTCATCCTTACTGTTTTATCCACTCTTCCCAGTTCTAACGGGGATTGAGTTTTATTTTGATACCAAACATGTCGGATACGCGGACGCGAAAAAGGTGAAGAAGCGATTTCCCTTTTGGATGTATAATCGAACCTCCATTTGCCAACTTCCGATCGTTCGCGTATGTATGCCTCTACATTCGCAATTTTATATTCTGTGTTAATTTTTGTGTTCAAAATGGACGCTATTAATCGTTTTCAACTCGGGTTTTCAATCTGCACGAAAAAAAAAAACAGCGGTCGAGGATCATTATAATCAAATACGTGGATCAAAAACCGACCGGCTGAAATGAAGACTGCATCCATCACTTAAAATAGAAGTGCCAAGAGAGCAACAGGAGAACCAAATTCAATTCGGAAAAGGACGTTGTTAACGGTCTTGTGTGGTTGTAATATCATGTAATGGCTTCAGTTTGCTTTCCACTATTCACTAGTCATGCTTCTGAGTTTGCAACAGGGGCAGGTAGGAGAGAGGTTTTTGTATACGCAAATATTATGTTCACTCCATACTTTTCTTTGTAAACCCGATCGCCATGTTTATTTGAGAAATGGGAGTAAATCGCTTTCGTTGCGCGGGCGCTGCGTCCACGATTTCTGGCCATGGCAATTTACACATATCAGCCTGACATGTCAGTTAGCCAAAAACGATGTTCACTGCAATCAGAATCTATCAACTGCAAAACTTCTTGCTTGTACTTAATATATTCGGTATCAAAAGACTCAAAAAAGTTTCTTTTGCGGAAAGACGAGCCGCCAACTTGGGTTTGGATACTATAACCCGTAATGCAATGCTCTGGGGAAGGCGCGCGAGTGAAGAACTTTTTGTGGGTATTTAGACAGACAGACAGACAGACAGACAGACCCCTTATTTGAGCACAATTAAAATTAAAGTTCAGTAGCTTATGAGGTCGAGCAAAAACGAAATAAACTCTGGTGGCATCTTTTGTAAAGAGTTTATCCCTCTGATTGATCATGAAAGCAATACTGAGAAATTACACTCGAAGATACTCACGGATCGTGGAGCGATCTATATTTACCTATCTCTTTATAGGTGGAACGATCTGACTTATTTGTGGAGCGACCTGACTTTTTTGTGGAACTGCCAAATACTGTGGAACGATCTGACTTGGATCGATCTGACTTCGATAGATCTGACCTTTCTTGTGTTTTGGTTAGTAATTCTGCTGGCGTCTTTTCGGCTACTTTTTCTTGTGCTTTGGTGAGTGCAATTTCACTTTAAGTTTTATAATTATTCTTAGCTCTGAACCAAACAGAGCACACACCACATTCGAAGACAGGGTTACTTGGTATTCTCACTAAGACGTTTTACAGAGCTGTAATTTGGAAAGCCTCCAAGTCCTGCCGCTTATCAACAGCTAGTTTAACAACTGCACTATCAAAACTGCCTTTTAAACCTTCATGCACGCACAATCGCAATATTCGTGAGGTCAAGCTGGTAGTTTAGATTTTATGATAAGTGAGATTTATTCATTGATTTTTGAACTAAAACACAATTAGATCTGCACGAGAAAAATGGAATTGGAAGTAATGGCACAAGGATAGCGTTGATAAAACATACAAAATATATCTGCTGATATAAAGGAAGAAACCCTCCTAGTTGCAATTGCACAGTTATTATGTGATGTCATTATGGCAAAAAAACAAATTGCAAACAGGGGACTGGCAAAATACAGTGAACTTAGCAAGCATGACAGACAGTTCAGTGGGGCAATATGAAAAAGTTATACTACCCTCATGAGCAATGGGAATTTCTGATACACAGATGTTATTATCTGTGAGAAGTTTTTGTGGGCAATAGTTTATTACTGTCGGGCTGACCTTGGGATCAGAAATACGCAAACACAAGGTGAAAATCTCAAGGCACTCCAAGCCAAATTTGACGACAGAGGTGAAGTTGCTGGAAACTGCTCTTGTAAATTTCCACTCCGAAGTTTAATAAAGATCAATAAGAGGCAATATGCTCTACGTATCGATGGTACTATGGTGCGGTGGAGGGTTGAGGCTCCTGAAGCCAAAGTGAACAGTTTCGTTGAGGCCACTGTAGCATTTGTCCAAAAATTCACGAAGACCACTGACGGTCTTGCGAGCCTCTAAAGCTCTTCTTAATCACATCAGATTACAAGTTTCAACCGTGGGCGTGGAATCCACCGCGAGAATATCCTGCTCTTGAAGACAAACTCTTCATGTTACGCAAATAACAGTGGAGAAACATATAACTCGCATTGGAAGAAGCATCCCACAAAGAGCGAGCCAAAAAAAGAAAAAAAAAACTAGTTAGACCTTAAAAACTGAAATCCAATCCGAGCAATAAAATTTTGCCCACTCACAAAAATTTTTGGGCCTGTTCAACAACAACAACTACTTGGACACTTGTGTGATGAGCTGTCATATCGCAAGGTCGTACAACAGCTCTCATGAAAAGGTTATGTTTATTTACAGCAGATCTAATCATCGCAAACATCTCTAAGGACACCGCGATCTTGCAAGCCTCTGATATGATCTAAAGCTTTTGATAACAGCAGATTACTCGTTAGACAGACAAAAAATTGGGGGCCTGTTTTTGTTTTTGTTTTTGTTTTTGTTTTTGTTTTTTTTAATCAACGAATTGGGTTATCGATTGGTCATTTCATTTGTGTATTTGTGTTGCTTACTAGCCACATTAAAAGTTGGCATCCCAGAAGTTTGCAGTTTGCGAGAACATATGTCGCATATAAGCTAATTCGCATAATTATTTGCTGGCCTATTTGAGGTAAGGCAGAAGTGTTTTGTAATTTTTGCCTCGCGTGTCCACGTGACCAAAGTCACAAAAAACTGACGATAAATTGACAGCGTTTGGTGTTATTGATTTTGGAAATACGAGTTTCAACCATGCTGTACAGATTCAAGACACTTTATTTATCTACTTATTTGTTTATTTATTTATTTATTTATTTATTTTATTATGGGGATTGGGATACAGACCTTGGAGAATCAAGCATTTGTAGATATAGAAAGGTTGAGTCACGCAGAAAAATGTCAGACGACAATGAGTGGTTAAAAACAGTGCTCTCTAAAGCGCATTTTCTGTGAATAAGTAAACAGTTCTAACTCACAAAAATTAATTATTGGTCGAATTAGTCGAGGCTAATGAGAAGCTTATGGGCCTCACAACGAATTCTTCTGTTCCTTTCACTCACAAAGATACAGTTCTCAGCATTTCCTCTCACAAATTGTCTGGAGAACTTGACATTTTGATCTTTGGTCTTACGTTTTCCATAAAACCACCACATCTGAACAAAAGTCACGTTTTCACAACATTTGAACTTCTTCACCAAGATGTTAAAAGACATCTCTTGGATAAGAGCAAAGCCAATGAAGGAAGAGGTGAAATGCAACATTTGGCACTTAGACTACGATGTAGTCCCTCTTTCGCTTAGTCCGTTGTGCGTGACGCGAACAAAACTGCGAGAAAAAAATAGTCGCGCGAAATCCTGGGTGTGAGGAGCGCGCGAAAGGAAGGACTGGTGCACACCAGGTTATGTGGTTTACCTACATTACATAAAGTCAAGGATTCTAGATCAATTAAATATTGTTCCTCCTTTAATTTAGACCTATTGTCTCCTCCATGGGCACTTATAACTACAACTTAGCAAAGTATCTTTTGTTGTTTACTAAAGCCCCACATCTCGTCAGAGTTTTGTGCTACAGATACTTTCATTTTTGTTAGGGAAATTCAAGGTGTTGATTTCAGTGAAATGCTTTTGGTCTAATATGATGTTACTATAGTCTTTTACAATATTTCTTTCACTGAAACCATTGATTTAACTGTCAACGCTATTTTTGAATGCAACGCTGGGTTAGACCTCAAACTCAACAAAATTCAACTGAAGGAATTTTTTAATTTTGTTACTAGCCACAATCATTTTTAACTTGGAAAATACTACTTTCCAAAGTGTAGTGATGGAGCAATTTCACTCCATCACTCTTTCACTCCTTCACTCCTTCACTCCTTCACTCCTTCACCCCTTCACCCCTTCACTCCTCCACTCCTCC